GAATAAGGCATTTATTAAGCTTACTCATGTTTAATCTTCGGATATTGTAAAATTTATTGTCTTTATCAATGTAATTTAATCAAGTCGGTTAGTTCACATCGCTGGCATACTTTTAGGTGCATTTTCAATCTATTATTGTAATTGTGTACACGTTCGCATGATACGAGTACGATTTAAAAATGAATATCCGTAATTCACTTAGTTGAATGCCTTTCCTTTAATAAAATTGAGGTGTGTCGTGCCAAATAAAATCTCAAAATGCATGGCCCTCACTTAATTAGTATTTCTATCCTTATAATTCGAGGCGTGTCATTTAGCAAATTCTATGGCCCTCGCAAAGTTGTAAACGCGCAATTGCTCTAGGCGCGTTAGTTAAATAATTTACCTTCCTAAACTCGGGTGCACATTTATGCGACCTAAATACAAATCGCAACGAAGTCGAAATATGTCTCTAATCACGGATACATTGATTGTGACGTGGTTCGAGATGCATTTCCACGACGTTGTAAATTCTCTAAAAGAATAATGAATGAGACGAGCCTCGCTGAATAAAATTGCAAATTACGGGCCCCTCAACGTATAGTTATTTCAAATGCTTAGACTACAAGACAGGTCGCATAGCACACTTCGCGGTTTTTTTTCTCAAAACAACAATACGCTAGTCACTCTAGGCGCATCTTTAACAAATTATTTTCTTAAATATGAGTGTGCATTTATGTAACCCAAATCCAAATCTCAACGGAGTCGAAATGTGTCGATAACCACGAGTGCATTGATTGCGACGTGGTCTGAAATACGTTTTCACAATGTTGCAATTCTCCGTAAAATAATAACAATAAATAAAAAATAATGAAAGCGGCAAAAAGTTATAATTTGCACATAAGTTCATATTTGTATAAAATCAGATAATCAAGCCGAATATGACAGTTGAGCGACCGTGCTAGAACCATGGAACTCGGGAATGCCTAACACCTTCTCCCAGGTTAACAGAATTCCTTATCCGGATTTCTGGTACGCAGACTGTAATATGGAGTCGTTCTCTTCCTCGATTCGGGATTAAATTGGTGACTTGGGACACCCTAAAATCTCCCAAGTGGCAACTCTGAAATAATTAAACAAATCCCGTTTCGATTGTCCTTTAATTGGAAAAACTCCTACACCCCTCGTGGGGGCGGAAAAAGGAGGTGTGACACCATGCAGCTACCTCAATACTCCTGGATACTGTTGTTCAGCTAAACAAATCCTCACACAGCCTGTGGGGTACCCAGATCTGCACGCAAGGTGCAGGGAGTAATGTGAGTACTCCGACCCAGTGAGTAATAAACATAAATAAAGGCTGAGAATAAGAAATCGTGGAAAAATACAAAGTAAACTATAACTGGCAGTTTAGAACAACAAATAGTGAAGAAACAAGTCAATTAAATCAGAGTACCAAATACTAAGACAGGTATAACTGATAAAAACAAATGCATGAATGCAATGTAATGCATATGATGGTACACTCTATGCATGAGTGCAATGCAATGCATATAATGGTACACTCTAGTACCCACTGCAGCGTGCAGCCCGAGCCATCCATTTTATTTATCATTGACGGCGGTCACTGGGGGTGTGTACAGACTCCAGAGGGGCTCCTACAGCCCAAGCGCAATATCGAGCCATCTCGTGGCATCAAATCTAGGCCCTCGACCTCATATCAATATCAGTATAATCACCTAGGCTCTCGGCCTCAATATCAATGTAATCACCCAGGCTCTCGGCCTCAATATCAATGTAATCAACCAGGTTCTCGGCCTCAATATCAATATAATACTGTTGCGGCGCGCAGCCCGATCCATGCTCAGTCCAGAAATCATCATTAGCCCCTTGGGCATTTGTAAAACAGTAGTTCTCAGCCCGAAATATCATTTAAAAATACCATTTAAGTTTTCAAATCTTAGAAAGATGGCTGAGTTTGCAAAACATTATTTAAAAACCTTGGACTGAGATAAAATGATATGCATGTATGCGAAAACAGTGATTTCAATCCCTAAAGGATTCAAATAATTGGCAAGAAGCCCAAATGTAACAGTTAAATCCAAGTAAGGATGATTCTCAATTTAGTGCAAGTAGAAAACACGGTAAAAACATCTCTTGGGACGGACCAAGTCACAATCCCCATTGGTGCTCTACCCCATGCCCGTTATTCGGCGTGCAAGTCACCTTAATATAGCGTTACGATGTGAAATTCCGGGGTTTCAAACCCTCAGGACATCATTTACATCAATTACTCACCTCGAACCGGCTACTTCTTTAGCTCGCGATGCCTTTACCCCTCGAATTGGCCTCCACGTGCGTCAAATCTATCCAAAATCAGAACAAATATGTTATAATATGATAAGGGAACAAAGCCCAATCAAAACAATCGAAAAATACCAAAATTCTCGAAATTAGCAAAAACCCGAGCAAAATACTACTCCACAATGCATTTTCCTCTCAAATCGACCTTCGAATGCCTCGAATCTAGCCACAATAATTCGATTCAATCAATAAAAATTATAGGAATTAATTCCATATGGAATTCTACACTTTCCATTAAAAATCCGAAATTGCACTCAAAATTCGCCCGTGGGGCCCGCGTCTCGGAATCCGGCGAAACTTATAAAATCCGACAANTCGACCTCCGAATGCCTCGAATCTAGCCACAATAATTCGATTCAATCAATAAAAATTATAGGAATTAATTCCATATGGAATTCTACACTTTCCATTAAAAATCCGAAATTGCACTCAAAATTCGCCCGTGGGGCCCGCGTCTCGGAATCCGGCGAAACTTATAAAATCCAACAACCCATTCCGATACGAGTTCAACCATACCAAAATTATCAAATTACGACAACAACTCGACCTCCAAATCTTAATTTTTCATTTTTGGAAGATTTTGCAGAAATCTTGATTTCTTCCATTTAAATCCGAATTAAACGATGAAAATAACCATGGATTTATGTAATATAAATACTTTCTAATATAGGTCACTTACTTGAGTTGAAATCGTGAAGAACACCTCAAAATCGCCCAAGAACCGAGATCCAAAAATCCCAAAACGAAAATGAAGAAATCGGCATTTTTGGTCCTTAAGTTTCTATCCGCCCGTTACTAAAAGTCCAGTTTCGTCACTAAAAGTCATCACTAAAAGTCCACCAGAGACAGCTTTACCAGCCATATTCAATCGATCATAACTTTATGTACAAATGTCCGATGTCAAATGGTTTAAATTTCTGGAAACTAGAATACAAGGGCTACAACTTTTATGTTTTATACATTTTTCGATTCCATATATATTTCGAGATATAAGCTTCCAAATTAGCCTCTTCGTATCAGAAATTTCTGGGAAATTTCAAAACAGCTTTACTAGCCCTTATTCAATCGATCATAACTTTCTGTACAAATATCCAAATGACAAATGGTTTATATTTCTGGAAACTAGAATACAAGGGATACAACTTTCATGTTTTATAGATTTTCCGATTCCATATATATTTCTAGATATAAGCTTCCAAATTAGCCTCCTCGCATCGGAAATTTCTGGGAAATTTCAAAACAGCTTTACTAGCCCTTATTCAATCGACGATAACTTTTTGTACAAATTTCCAAATGACATATGGTTTATATTTATGAAAACTAGAATACAAGGGCTACAACTTTCATGTTTTATACATTTTTCGATTCCTTATATATTACGAGATATAAGCTTCCAAATTATACTCCTCGTATCAAAATTTTCAAAACTTGCTGTCAAAAATCCAACAAGTTAAATTGGCCTAAAAATGGCCCGAAACCATTCCGAAACACACCCGAGCCCCTCGGGACTCTAACCAAATATGCCAACATGTCTTAAAACATCATCCAAACTTGCTCCAATCATCAAAACACCTCAACTAACACTAAAATCATCGAATTACATCGAATTCAAGCCTAAGTTCTTTTAAAACTTCCAAAACACGCATTCGATCAAAAACTCAACCAAACCACGTCCGAATGACCTAAACTTTTGCGAAAACATCACATATAACATAACGAAGCTACAACAGCTCTCGGAATTCCATTCCGACCCTCGCATCAAAATCTCTCCTATCAACCGGAATTCACCAAAATACTAACTTCGCCAATTCAAGCCTAATTCTACACCAGACCTCCAAAATTACTTCCGATCACACTCCTAAGTCACAAATCATCTCCCGGAGCTAACCGAACTGTCGGAATTCACATCTGAACCCTCTAACTCATAAGTCAACGTCCGGTTGACTTTTTCAACTTAAGCCTTCTTAAAAGAGACTAAGTGTCTCAATTCCTTTCAAAAACTTTCCGAATCAACTCGTTCACACCCAACACTGATAATGAAGCATAAAGAAATAGGAAATGGGGAAAATGGGGCGGTAACTCACGAGACGACGGCTCGGGTCGTCACAAAAAGAGTGAGACTTGGAGGGCATGCTATCAGAAGTTGAAGTATTTAAGGTGAACGACGTTCCAATTGTTTGGTAGTAGCTTTCCCTTCATTGTTTCTAGTTGGAATGATCCTTTGTTTGCCGCTGCCATGATTTTGTATGGCCCGTCCCAATTGGTTCCTTGTTTACCTTCTCTTGGGTCTTTGCTCGCCTGTGTCTTGGCCTTGAGTACATAGTCCCCGACTTTGAGTGGTCGTACTTTGGCCTTTTTGTTGTAATACCGTTCTGCTTGCTGTTTTTGGGCTATTATTCTTATGTAAGACATGTCTCTTTGCTCCTACACTTCGTCGAGGTCTTGTTTCCTGTTCTCATCATTGTTTGGTCCGCTCTCATTGGAGTATCTCAAACTTGGTTCCCCGACTTCAACTGGTATTATTGCGTCAGTCCTATAGACTAGTGAATATGACGTTTCTCCTATGCTTGTTTTTGGCGTGGTGCGGTATGCCCACAACACTTCTTGTAACAATTCCGACCATAGTCTCTTGGTGTCCTCAAGCTTTTTATTCAAGATGTTTAGAATTGTTTAGTTGGAGGATTCGGCTTGGCCATTGCCTGCAGGGTGATATGGCGTGGATAGTATTTGCTTGATGTGCCATTTCTCGAAGAATTCAGCGGTCTTTTTCCTGATGAATTGGGGTCCATTGTCATAGCTAATTTCTTTGGGGATACCGATGCGACATTTGATGTTCCTCCATATGAATGTGATAACTTCCTGTTCGCATACCTAGGCGAATGCACTTGCTTCTACCCATTTGGAAAAGTAGTCAGTTAAAACCAAAAGAAAACGTATATTACCTCGTTCCGCTAGGAGTGGTTCCACGATGTCCATTCCCCATTAATGAATGGCCATGGCGATGTGACTGAGTGGAGGTGATCTCCCCCTTGGTGTATCATAGGAGCGTATTTCTAGCACTGCTCGCACTTCTCGACGAAGTCGACGGCTTCCTTCTTCATGGTGGGCCAATAATAACTTGCTCGTATGAGGCATCTAACGAGGGCTCAGTTGTCGGTATGGGCACCGCAGTGTCCTTCGTGTACTTCCTCGATGACACATCTTGTTTGGTTCGACCCTAGGAATTTTGCCAAGGGTCCTCCAAACGTTCTTTTCTATAGGTCGTGGTTTACGATGTTGTACCTGGTCGGCTGCATTCGAAGCGTTTTGGCTTCCTTTTGTCTGATGAGAGTACTCCCTCCTGCAAATATGTTATAATACGGTTGCGCCAGTCCCAAGTTAAATTTACAGAGTGTACCTCAAGTTGGTCTATTGATGAGTGGAGGAGGGTAACCACGTTTTCTTTTCTAATGTTTTTGGTGGCTGCTGCTAGCTTGACGAGGCCGTCTGCCTCGATGTTTTGTGCTCGAGGTATCTGGTCGAGTTGATATTCTTCGAATTTCGGCAGTAGTTTATGAATCTCAGCCTGGTATTTTGTAGCCTCTGCTCTTTGATTTGAAAAGTCCCTGTGACTTGGTTAACAACGAGTTGCGAGTCGCATCGTATGACGACTCGTCGTGCTCCGTATTTAAGAGCTAGCCTTAGTCCTGCAATTATGGCCTCATACTCAGCCTCATTGTTAGTCATATCAGGGCACCATATAGACTGGCGAATAACTTCGCTTGTTGGGACCTCGAGTACGAGTCCCAGTCCAGATCCTGATGTGTTGGAAGCGCCATCGGTGTATAGGACCCATAGTTTGAGTAAACTGGGAGAAATTTCCTGCTCGGTCTCAGGCATTATTTTGGCACTGAAATCTGCGATGATGTCGGTGAGTACCTATAAATTTTATAACTATTCACAGCTGATATTTTATATCATGCTCGCTCAATTCTATGGCCCACTTGGCCAGTCTCCTGACAGCTCGGGTTTATGTAGGATGTTCCTTAGGGGGAAGGTCGTGACCATCGATATGAGGTGGCATTGAAAATAGGGTCTTAGCTAACGTGAAGCTGTGACCAATGCCAAGGCCAACTTTTCGAGGTGGGGGTACCTTGTTTCGGTGTCGACTAGGGATTTGCTAATGTAGTAGATTGGAGATTGCCTACCTTTGTTTTCACGGACTAGTACTGCACTTACTGCGATCTCTGATACGGACAAGTATATCAGAGGCACTTGCCAGGTTCTGCTTTAGCGTGTAACAGGGGCGAGGACAAGTATGCCTTTAGTTCTCTTAAGGCCTCAATGCATTTTGAATTCCATAGGAACCTGTTGTCCTTTTTAAGCACGTTGAAGAATTTGTGGCATCTGTGAGAGGATCGTGAGATGAACCTTGACAGGGCAGCTATACGGCCTGTCAATTTTTGTACATGTTTCTTGCTGGTTAATACTTCGGGTATTCCCTCGATGGCTTTGATCTGGTCAGGGTTGACCTCGATGCCTCTTTATGACACTAGAAAGCCAAGGAACTTGCCCGAGGTTACGCCGAAGGCACACCTTTCGGGGTTCAGCTTCATACTGTATTGCCTTAGTATATCTAAGGCTTCCTTCAGATGGTCGATGTGGTGTTCTTTGCTTTTTGATTTGACCAACATATCGTCTACGTAAACTTCCATTATTTTACCGAGATGGTCCTTGAACATCTTGGTGACCAGCCTTTGATAAGTTGCCCCTGCGTTTTTCAACCTGAATGGCATGACTCTATAGCAGTATGTTCCCTTGTGGGTGATGAAAGTGGCCTTTTCTTCATCCTCCTCCTCCATGAGGATTTGGTTGTAACCTGAGTAGGCGTCCATGAAGCTTAACAACTCGTGCCATGTCATTGCATCGATAAGTTGGTCGATGTGGGGCAACGGAAAGGAATCCTTTGGGCAGGCCATGTTTAGGTCTGTAAAGTCCACGCACATTCGCCACTTTCCGTTTTTCTTTTTCACAATGACTACGTTAGCGACCCATTGGGGGTATTTTGACTCTCGGACGGAGCTGTTGGCGAGTAGTTTATCCATCTCATCATGGACAACCTCGTTGATTACGGCGTTAAATTTTCTTCTTATTTGTCGTACCAGCGGGTAGAGTGGATCGATGTTCAACTTGTGCGTGGCAATGTTTTTTGGATACCTGGCATGTCTTCATGGGAGAAAGCAAACAGATCGGCGTTGTCTATTAGAAATTTGTGAAAATTACCTGGTTCTAAGAATTTATGGCCGATGTAAGCCTTTTTGATGTGGTCACTGTTGTCTAGTTGTACGGGGTCGAGGTCTTTTACCGTTGACCCCATGGCCTCCATGACATCGAGATCCTTGATGACGTCTTTTGGTTCGTTGAGTTTGGGCCCTGACTTTGGTAATTGCTATGATCTCGAGCCTATTTCCTTTAAATGTTGGGTATATGTACAATCTTGGGCGATGCGATAACATTCTTCGGATGTGTGTTGTTCACCTTGGATGTTGAATATCCCCCACAGAGTAGGGAACTTGATTACTTGATATAAGCTGGATAGGATGGCCCTCATAGCTTGTATCTAGGGTCGCCCTATGATGGTGTTGTAAGTTGTGTCCTAGTTCAAGACATGAAACGTTATTTCTAGGGTGACGCCTCTGGCCAGAACGGGCAGCGCTATTTATCAGAGGTTCGCTCAACTGCATTATTAAAACCTGTTAGCATTATGCAGTGTGGTATTGTCTTGTCCTCGAGTCTCATTTGTGTGAGAACTCGAGGGTGAATAATACACGTGCCACTCTCGTCGTCTACCATTATTCTTTTTTACATCAGTATCTGAAATACGTAAAGTAATGACAAGAGCATCGAAGTGAGGAAAGGTCAAACCATGAGTATCTGACTTATCGAAGATGATACTGTCTTGGAGATAATTATAACATTCATAGGTGATCGACTGCTTCAGCTTATGTGTGGTGGTGAACTTTACGTGATTGATTGCTGCTTCGTCGCCTCCACCGATTATCATTTGGATGGTGCGGGCGGGGGAGGGTGGCTTTGGAGGGCCTTGGTGTTGTTCTCGTCCGCGACCGAAATTGGCTCTTCCTCAGTCACTCATCAGCTCCCTTAGATGTCCTTGGTGAAGCATGTTTACTACTTCTTGCTATAGGGCTATGTAGTTTTCGATCATGTGACTCCACTCCTGATGAAACTCACAGAGGATGTTCAAATTTCTGGTACTTGGTTCGAACTTCATCTTTTGTGGCCACTTCACCTTCGGGTCGAACTTCTCTAGTGCGTACACTATTTCTGAAGGGGAAACACAAAAATTGTGAGCAGATAAGAGTGGAGGCATACCCCTTTCGTTTCTCTGAGTCCCTGTGTGTGACCCGGGCGGGCCCTCTATATGGCGAGGAGATATTGGGATGGCTGTTCTGACATATGGTTGGTGCCTGTCCCGATTGAGGCGTGGACCTGGATGGTCTCTTCGATCGTCATTACGACGGTCTTTCCTCGACTCTATTTGGATTGATGTTAGCTGTTGGGTTGGACCGTTGAGGTCATCCTCGTCTGCTCTCACCCCGGCGCAACAAGCGTTATGAATTTCTTCCTAATCGGCTGGGGGAGGGTATTTCATGAGTCTGTTTAATAACTTTTTGGTCACTCTCGACCCATTTCTGTTCAACCCATTTTGGAAAGCTGCCACCGCCATCCCTTCTGACACGTTTGGCAAGCTCATTCTTACTCTGTTAAACCGAGTGAGGAAGTCCCTGAGTCCCTCGCTAGGGGATTGTCTAACGGCGAATATATCGTTCATCCTAGCCTCCACTTTCTTGGCCCCGGCGTGGGCGGTGACGAACTTGTCAGCCATTTCCTCGAATGTTGTTATTCAATGTGTTGGTAATTGTGAATACCATGCCAAGGTTCCCCCTATTAGGGTTTCGCCAAACTTCTTTAGCAACATTGATGGTACCTGCTCTTTTGAGAGGTTGTTGCCTTTTATTGTGGTGACGTAATGAATGATGTGATCTTCAAGGTCTGTTGTGCCATCGTATATCTTCAAATATGGTGTCATTTTGAAGATATTAGGTATGGCATGTGGGGTTGCCTCCTCGTTGTATGGTTGTTTGATGAACCGGACGACGTCTCGTTTTGGTAGTAGTTTTGGGGCGCCCAGTATCTTATCAACCCTTTCTTAATGTTCCCTCATCTGGTCGCGGAGCACTTTATTCTCGTTCTCCATTTCTTCCATTTTTTTAGAATGGCCGCAAGTGTGTCGTTACCTGCATCAATAGCGGTGTGAGTGTTACCTGTTGAGGGAGTAGGTTGCTTGTCGGCGGTTGCTGTGGTATCCGCTTGTGTGGCGTTTCTATTCTCCCTTTGAACAGGTTTGTCGAGTATGTTGTTTAGAGTACTTGACAAGCATTCCTCAAGTAGTTTTTTCACTGCTGGTGGCGCTTTCTCAGCTGTGGATGTGGAAGCTCCCCTTTCGCGTGAAGTGGTCACACTTCCATGAGGGGGAGGTGAGTCACTTTGCCTGGGTGTAGCACTCAGCGTCACATTCTTCTCGTTTTCTCTGTCATCCTCGTTGATGGTGTTCAAGAGGTTGGAAGTGACGCCCACTACTGCTTTCTATCTTTCATCTCTTTTTCCTACCATTATTAGTTCGTGCAAACGAGAAAAAGATGGTGTCCTTTTCTATGATCTAGAAGAAACTAAGATTTTAATTAGAACCTCCCCACAGACGGCGCCAAATTGTTCCACCAAAAAGTGTTAAGCTTTTTGTTAAACTAATTAATGAGAAAATTGAGGATGAATCCTAGTTAAACATAATAAATTCTAGATCTAAAATTGGAGAATGTCAGTGGGATGAGACCGTGTTCAAGAATAATAAATATCAAGTATATGACCAATGATTGTCAATGAATGTAGTAATGCAAGCATGCAATAAATGTAGATAATGACAATAAACCTAATAAGAAGGAATTTATCGCCCAAATATTAGGTGACTTTGATGATTTTCCTCCTTGACAACAACGTGGGGTGATAAGAAATGAAGATGAATAAGAAATCTTTGGATTTTGTGAATGAACAACATATATTGAACAATGTAATCAGTGAACAAGCTTTTTTATATTTTCTTCTGTCAACCCTTTACAATGTGCTCTTATCAAAAAGTCAAGATCTCCCTTTTGTTCTTTATCTCTTCCTATTTATAGAGGATATTCTTGAGAAACCTTAAAAAAAGTACAACAGAAAGAATATTCAATGGAATATTCTTTCTTTGTTTCAATGCAATATTCTTTCTTTGTATTCTAACTTATCCTACCGTTATGTTCATATTTCCTTTGCACTACTTCAACGCTAATCTTTCTTAAGACGACTCTTCGCCTCATGTCGTGATCGGCTTAATCCTCGACCACGTTCATTTGCACCTATTAAGTTCAATACAAATTTTGACCAATACACTGTTAAAGGAAAATGATGAATAGCCATTGGTTGCTATTCTAGGAACTAACATTGCAGTTTGTTTAATTTGTGGCCGAGTGGAGACGCTTCTTTCATATGTGCAAGTTCCTTCCATTGCCTCGAGATTGGCAAAGAGTTGAAGTTGTTTAGTTTTCTTTTGCTTTAATTCCATGTCACGTGTGAGAAGATGTTTCTCTTGCTTACTGTTTAAAAAATATTGAAGATATTGTCTTTGTTCGTGCATGAATGTGTTATGTATGTTTAAAACTATGATTTTTTGTATTAGATATTAGATTAGTTAATGTTTGACAAGAGTTTTTGAGAAGAGGTTGTTTTGTTTCTCGTTGAAAAAAAAAGTGTTTAAAAGCATCTCTTGTCTGATATAGTTTAAATAATTTTAAGGATGAAATTTGACTATATTATTAATAATCAAGATTGGACACTTGGGCCAATTAAGTTGCCTGGATATAAGAATTTAGTCACTTATCATTTTATTAAATAATTAAAAACATTATTTTAATTAAATTTCAGAAAAAACATTTTTAACTGCTTTCTTTTTAAATTTAAAAAGGTGACTATTGGTTTTAAAAGGTGTCATTTATGAAGAGATGAGTCTGTTAATTCCAATAGACTCCTAGATGTATTATAAATACCCATATCATCTCCGAAACGAAAGATATCTGAAAATCTCCATCTCCTTCTCTTCTACTTATTTTCTACAGCTTATAAACTCAAATTTTAGAGGCTTTGTATAATCCCCGAAGAATTCTGCTATTATGCTTGTGTCACGACCCCAACCCCGGTCATGATGGCGCCCAACACACTGCTAGGCAAGCCCGACCATTCAACAACAGTATCCCAAATTCTTATTCAGATTATAGATAAATATCACAGAGAATTTACTAAGTCGTCACTTCCAAGTGTATAATTAATAATAAAATCTGCGAAAATTCAACTAAAATACCACACCATAGCCCAATANCTGCTACGGCGCGCAGCCCGATCCATGCTCAGTCCAGAAATCATCATAAGCCCCTTGGAAATTTGTAAAACAGTAGTTCTCAACCCGAAATATCATTTAAAAATACCATTTAAGTTTTCAAATCTTAGAAAGATGGCTGAGTTTGCAAAACAGTATTTAAAAACCTTGGACTGAGATCAAATTATATGCAAAATATGCGAAAACAGTGATATCAATTCCTGAAGGATTCAAATAATTGGCAAGAATCCCAAATGTAACAATCAAATCTAAGTAAGGATGATTCTCAATTTAGTTCAAGTAGAAAACACGGTAAAAACATCTCTCGGGACGGACCAAGTCAAAATCCCCAATGGTGCTCTACCCCACGCCCGTTATCCGATGTGCAAGTCACCTCAATATAGCGTTACGATGTGAAATTCCGGGGTTTCAAACCCTCAGGACATCATTTACATCAATTACTCACCTCGAACCGGCTACTTCTTTAGCTCGCAACGCCTTTGCCCCTCGAATTGGCCTCCACGTGCGTCGAATCTATCCAAAATCAGAACGAATATGTCATAATATGATAAGGGAATAAAGCCCAATCAAAACAATCGAAAAATACCAAAATTCTCGAAA